AAAAATCAGCCAGTATAAATCAGTGGAATACAGTAATTACATCAATTATGTCTTTTCGGTTTAGGAGAGTGTAGAACATAAAGGAAATGGGGCATGTCATCTATCCACGGGCTTGCCCAGTTTTTGAGGACTCTGAAGGATGACCGGTTCTGATACACTAATCACACAACAGAGTCGGATTGGGGCAAAATCAGGATTGTTGCTGTAATGCATCCCGAGGCTGAAATTAAACTGTTTGGGGCTTCAGTCAGAGTTGACTGTCTTGCTGCTATCAATTCACCTATCCACTTGAACTTAAGGATTTCCCTCTACCGCTCGCAATCCTGACCTCTGCTTGCTCTCTACTCACTTAGTTCCACCACTTCACTCATTGTTCCTTTGCTCTTTACAGCTGGTCTTTGTGAGAGGGCTCTGTGGAGCAATAGTAGTGCCCCTACCTCTGGACTGGTAGCCTAGGTTCAAGTCCCGTCTGCCCTATAATTGTGTCATAACATGTCTGAACAGGTTGATTAAAAATATCTTGTGTTGCTCTTGAATGTTTCTAAAAACCGCCTTGTCTCTCTTCATAAGATTATAAGAAATTGTAGGCCATTTGGCCCCATCAAGACTATTGTGCCATTCAGAAAGATCATTTCTGATTTGTGCCCTTCATTCCCCTTCCTGCCTGTATCTAGTAACTCCTAATTTCCACATCAATCAAAAATGTGTCTAATTCATCCTTGAATATTATAAAGATACAGAGTCTAGTGTTGTCTGTGGAACAGGATTCCAAAGACTGATAACCCACAGTGAGAATAAATTTCTTTTTGGCTTATTCTTAAATGGAAGACCATTTAATTTTTAACCTGTGATCCCTAAATCTTAGATAACAAGGTGTAAAGCTTCAGAAACTTCTGAAGAAGGGTCTAGGCCCGAAACGTCAGCCTTCCTGCTCCTCTGATGCTGCTTGGCCTGCTGTGTTCATCCAGCTCTACACTTTGTTATCTCAGATTCTCCAGCATCTGCAGTTCCTACTATCTCTGAAACATCCCTAACCTTACACATCTGTCCAAAGCCTCTTGTGATCTTAACCACACTGATCTTGCTTTAGAGTTCTCTCACTCAACTGTTCCTCACTCACCTGCCATTTCACATCTTTTGCTCCAATCAATATTATTCTGCAGAGGGACAGGTGCAATGTAAACTTGAGCTTGAACTGATAGTGATTTTGCAGTCAGCCTCTGAATATCAGCTGTTGTGTTGTAGAGAATGTTCCAACGAGACTGTCCCCCTGAGCCGTTACGTAAGAAAAACGCTTCAAAACTATCTCTCATTTACACTAATTATTGTCAAAGAGAGAAGGAGTCAGGTCTACATAGTGTATTTCATAAAGACTGGTCACCTTTAAACTACTTTACAGCCTTGGAAATACTTAAATGTGGTCCCTGCTGGAATGTAGCAAATGTATAAAGTTTTAATGTTGGGTTATAAGAAATTAATACAATTAGGGAGAAGACCAGAAGCCAAGGGGCTAAAACTGGTTTCTTCGGGAAAATACACGAAAGTACCCACAAATGAAATAACAGGAAGAATCGGCTTTGAAAATTGGAGAGCAGGAGGGTATGTAATTTTCCTGGGCCCTGGGGATATACCAGTAGAGTAGGTCACCTGTCCATTGTAGAAGCTGCCTGGTGATCACTCACTTGTGACCAGGGGGATTGAAGTGGCATGGATCTCCAATGGAGATAATAGTGAAATGACTAACAAGACTACTGCCAGAGTCAAGGAGAATATGAGCCACCACAACCCCGCCCCAAATGCACACACCATCCCCACATTGTCATTTACTTCTGAAAATTGAATTTGAGAGTGGGTCTTATTGTGAAACAAACAGGTATTCTCCTACTTTTCACTACAGGAATAATTTCATTTCCAAATTAAATCCTTTGACCCACATGGGAGTCAAGGGTCCTGCACCACAAAAATGCAATTGAGGCCATAATTAGATCAACCATGTTCCAGCAGAGGAGGCTGAATGGGCCGAATAGCCGACTTCTGCTCCTATTTTCTTGTTGTCAATAACGGTGAACATATCTGAACAAGCCAACAGGCATTCGTCACTCATCAGGGACTCTTAAGTTCACCATCTTACCTGGCTTTTGGTATACGTGTGTAACATTTTGTTGCAGCACTGCTTGCTTGACTGTCAGCTGAGGGACTGAAAGACTGAGGTTATATGGGCACGTGAACTGATAAACCTGATCGCCGCTCCCATCTCCAAAACTCCACCTGCAAAGCAACAGAAAGATTCAGTACAGATTCTCCATCATTGGTGTGTATGAGTTTTGTGATAACAAGCACAGTTGGTACACTAAGCTTCAGAAGCTACGTACAAAGCCCCTACAGTCTGCATTTGCCTGTCTAGCTTTGTGCCAGGTAATAGAAATCAAAATCTGGGTTCATATTGCCACTTACCCATGGCATTTAGATAGTATATGAGTTGCACCATTGGTTCCATTGTGCTTAATGCAGGATTCAAGAGAAATAGATCCCTCTGAAGTTAGTAATTTTTTATTTTCATCTGTACACCCAACAATTTCACATTCTGTGACCCCATTCCTAGTGCTGAATTAGGAGAGTTAGGTTTGAACCCCACTCCAGATAGTGAAGAACTGAATCAACTGACCGCCAAATGGCCTTGCACTGTAAGTATACGTGTTGCCTGCACCATCATGACACGTACATAAGGGCTTTCTGTCATCCTCAGTTCAAGGTAATTATCATGTGATAGGGGAAGCAAATGAAAGGCGCCTCAACAGATTAATCTCTGCAAAAAATCTCACATATAAGAGTTAGAGTAGAACCTGCCTATGGATCAGAATATAACAAACAGACTTTTTTTTATTCATTCAGGGTGTGCAGGTATCATTGGTAAAGCCATCAATTTTTATCCATCCATAACTTCCCTGGACAATGTGGATAGTTAACTTCTTAAATACAACTGAATACCTTGGTCGTTTCAAAGTCACGTGAAGCATCATCCGCATTGCTGTAAATCTGGAGTCTAATGTAGATTACATGGGGTAAAGTGGCAGATTTTCCTCCCTGAAGGATGCTAGTGAAGCAGATAGGATTTTACTGTAATGTAGTAATTATATGGTCACCATGATTTACAGCACCTTTTTTGTTCACGATTTCCTTGTTTCATTAAATGTCAATTCCCCAGTACCATGGCAGGATTAGAACTATCTTTAAGCACTGGTGCAAGCATTGGCATTTTGAGTCCAGTAGCTTATCTATTATGCTACAACTATGACCTTTTACAACCAAGGAGGTGGCATAGTGATAATGTGGGGCTAGTAATCCAGAAATCCAGGCTAATGCTCTGGAGACATATGTTTGTATCCCACCATGGCATACAGTGGGATTTGGATTCAATTTTTTAAAATCTGGAAGTGATAACCATCCAGCCACTGCCAAATGTTGTGAAAACCCACCTGGTCCTCTGATGTCATTCAGGAAAGAAAATCTGCAATTCTTACCTGTTTCCGTGTGACTCCAGATCCACAGCAATGTGGTTGACACTTAACTGCTTTTTGGGCATCTAAGGATGTGCAATACATGCTGGTCTTGCTATTAAGGCCACATCACATGAATGAATAGAACAAAATGTTATTACTTGATGGATTCAAACATTGTTAACCAAGTATCATAGCAAAGTCTAATCCCTTCTCCCTCAGCTGCGCAAATAGAAAAGTAAGGTCTGCAAATACAGAAAATTTCAACTAGTTCTTTAAGAGAATCCTACATGAATGAATCACTAGTCAGAAAAAAAGTCAGAGTCATATCCATCACCGTTCTGCCCATTAAATCCATCTCTGCTCCCAACAGAGCAATCCTGTAATTATCTCACTTCTGGTCCCTGTAACCCTACAAATTTGTTTCCTTAAAGTGCCTGTTGAATTCACTTTTCATTATTTCCACAAGCCTCATGTAAAGTGGGCAGCCAGCTCCAGGTCATTTCCACTCAATGTTCTTCCTCGCACTCCCTCTCACTTATTCAAAATTTTAAATCTGTGTTCCCTAGATCTGGTACATTCAACCAACAGGAAGCCATTTTCCTCATCTATCTTTAACAAAGCCTACATAACCCTATTACTGCTATATTAAATCTTCCTTCAGTCACCTTTGCTGCAAGATGAATAGCCACAGCCTTGCTAACTTAATCTTAACTAAATGCCTATCCCTGGAACCATTCTGGTAAATCTTCCTCTGTTATGGTCACCAAACTGAGCGTGATACTCTAGTTGGGGCATGACCAAAGCATTTTAAAGGTTCAGCATAACTTCCCTGCTTTTGTACTCAATGCCTCTGATTATGAGGCCCAAGATTCCACATGCTTTGTTATCCACCCCTCGATATGACCTGTCCCCTTCAGAGGCCAATGCACGGTCTCCTTCTGGTGCTTCCATTCTTGCACATGTTTTAAAATATTGCCATTATATCGACATTGACTCTCCATCCTTTCTGCCAAAAATGAATAACATGACACTTCTGTCATAAATTCCATGTGCTAATTGTCTGCCCATTTTGCCAACCTGATTATGTCTTCTTGTAGGCATTTTTTTGAAACTGTTAACCACACTGTCACCCCCAAGTTTGGTATCAACAGCAAATTTTGAAATTTTACACAGTAAACCAATATCCAAACAGTAGTTTCCACTCTTTACCTGAATGTAGCATTTACAGCTGCATCTACCTTCACACTGGCAGCAAACGTGTATAGGAAGCCTCGCACAAGGATGGCTGGAACAGCAGAGACATTGAACTCAGCTAAGGGATTCCTCCTGTCCACTGTAACATTGCAAATAATCTTCTGGCTGCTCACGTGGTTGGATGCGATCAGCTGCAACAATGAATTGCAAGTTTTAGTAGGAAGTATAAAAGAGGTGTTTCTTTTTGTCTTGTCCTGGCCAATATTTAAACCCTCAAAACAATATCACTAGGACAGAATGTTATCACACTGCTGTCTGTGGAGTCTTGCTGTGAGCAAATTGACTGCCACTGGTGACTACAATTCAAAAGTCTTTTGCTGGCTTCGGAATGCCCTTAAGTTATGCTATATAAATTACTTTCCTTCTATTAAAACAGAAATTATTTACATTACATTTCGAGAATGACATTCATTGTACATCTTAGATTGTAAACTTTCTGTCCTTCAGTTTTCCAAGCTTTATATTTCACTCACATTTGCCACCTTTTCCTGTTTTGATAGTGTTCCAATCACAAGATCTCAGGATAAGTTTAGTTGGAGCTTTTAAGTCCAATAGACCTCATCCTGGCAAAACAACAACTCCACTATCCTCCTAAGACATCATCTCACTGGGCTTTGGTGGTTAAACTGAGTGGGTTTTAAACAATGGCACCTTGCTCATATGATATTATTTGCTGCTGAGGTTCCTTCAAGAACTCGAGTGTCATTATAGTTATGCATTGTCCATTCCTCTAACTGACTGTTTCGCATCTGTGTGGGCATAAGATCATACAGCAGAAATAGGAGAATATGACCCCCTAATCTTGCTCCACCAGTCAATAGAATCATAGCAGATCTTATATCTCAAATCCGCTTTCCTGCACCATCCCCATTTCCTTCATACCCAAAAGTCTATCCATTTTAGCCTTGATTGTACTTGATGACTAAGTAACTGCTGTCCTTCGGGATGAAGAACTCAAGATTCATGATTCTCTCAGTAAGTATAATTTCCTCATCTCAATTCTAAATGGCTCACCGCTTAGTTTGCTGAGATTGTACCTCAAGCCAGAGACACTCCAGCCAGGGTGAAACAATGTCTCAGGTTGTACCCTATCAAGCCCTCTAAGAATTTTATATATTTCAGTTAGATCCAAGAGAACCTTCTAAACTCCAGAGAATGTAGACGCATTCTATTCAATCTCTCGTCCGAGGTCCACTCTAACACCATCTCAGAAACAATTCAGTGAACCTCTGTTACCCTCCCAGTCAAGAATCTCTTTCCTTAGACTGGGAGCCAAAATTGTACACAATATTCAAGCTAGGGTCTCAAAGTGCTATATATTTGCAGAAGTCCATATTGTAATATATGTATATAATTTATTGCAAGGGGAAGGGAATATAAAAGTCAGACTGTTTTTCCACAGCTGTCCAGAAGATTGGTGAAACTAGATCTGGAGTAATGTATACAGATCTGGCCTCCTGATTCAAGGACATAACTGCATGAGAAGCAGTTCAGAGAAGGTTCACTCAATTGACTCCTAAGACAAGGGAGTAATCTTACAAGGAAAGATTGACTAGGTGATGTCTGTACACATTGGAGTTTAAAAACACGTAAATATCCTAAGGGGTAATTAAAGCAAAATACTGTGAACACTGAAAATCTGAAATAAAATCAAAGTACTGGAGCAACTCAGTAGGTTTGGGGAGGCAGTGGCCTATGGTATTATCACTGGACTGTTGATCCAGAGACTGAGATAATGTTCTGGGGACCCAGGTTAGAATCCCGCCAAGGCAGAAGTGGAATTTGAATTCAATAAATATCTGGAGTTAAGAATCTAATGATGAGCATGAATCTATTGTCGGTTGTCAGGAAAAACCCATCTGGTTCACTAATGTCCTTTAGGGAAGGAAACTGCCATCCTTACTTAGTCTGGCCTACACGTGACTGCAGACCCATAGCAATGTGGTTGACTCTTAATTGCCCTCTGGACAATTAGGGATGGGCAATAAATGCTGGCCGAGCCAGCGACGCCCTCATCCTGTAAATGAATGAGAAAAAAGGTCTGGCAGCATCTATAGAGTTAATGTTTCAAGTTTAACATGACTATTTGTCAGAGCTTCAAAGAAGAATCACATTGGACTCTGCGATAACTTTGTTTCTCTCTCTGCATATGCTGCCAGACCTGCCAAAGATCCTGAGGGAACTTGACAGATTGGATGCCGAAAGGATGTTTCCCCTTCTGGAAGAGGCCAGAATCAGGGGACACAGTTTAAAAATAAATGGCATCCCATTCAAGAAGGAAATGTGCAGCAGTATTTTTTGTGTGTCATAAATTAGTGGAACTCCCTTTTCCAGTGTGGTGGAGGCAGAGTCATTGAATATTTAAGGAAAGATTCTTGACTGACACAGTAGACAAAAGGATATTTTGGATAAACAGTAAAGTGGAATTGAAACCGCAGTTGGATCATTCACAATTGCATCAAACAGTGGAGCATGCTTAAGGGGGCCAACGGGCCTACTTCTGCTCCTAATTGATGTGCTTGTTTACCCTCTAGCAACCCCCACCCTTTCCAAATAAAGGCAAACATACCATTCGCCTTCCCTTTTGCTTAAATATGGCCCATTTTCTTGGTTTACACATTTAGCTCAGCGGCCATGGAAAGTCGGAGCTACTTGATTGACTGAGGAGTATTGGCACTAAATAGGTTCCTGAATACACCATGCAATAGAGCTTCAAATTTGCCCAGCAGTAAATGAACCCTTTTACTATGACAGGTAATCAACACTGAGAAACAATAAGGGCATATGCATAACTCTATACTGCTATACTAAATCTTCTTTCAATCACCTTTGTTGCAAGATGAACAGCCACAGCCTTGCCAATCCAATATTTAACTAAATGCCTATCCCTGGAACCATTCTGGTAAATCTCCTCTGTTGTGGTCACCAAACTGAGTGTGATACTCTAGTTGGGCCCAGCAGTAAATGAACCCTTTTACTATGACAGGACATCCAACAGCTTTGGTAAAGACACTGAGGAAAAAATAAGGGCATATGCATAATGAGGACTAACCCAGAGGAACAGCACAATCAATTCCAGCCACTGCTTCTACTTACTGAGAGTTGGTAAACAGCTTCAGTTCGGTAAATGACTTTGTACACTTGATTGTAGTGTATGAAGGAAGCCTTATCATCAACAGTCCATTTAAACATGACATTTGTTCCAGAACTCACTCTTGCTGTATAGGTCTAGACACAAATACAACTTAAGCAATTAGGGAATTAAATGGATGCTTTGCTACTCTTTAGAGTTAATTGTTATGAAACCACAACAAATCCACGGAAATATGTTCAAATTTGATTTTGATGACTTTGATACAATCTGTCAAATATAATCTTCTCTCTTTAATGTTGATTCCACTTGGTTATGTAATGATACCAGCTCTATACACTGCAGAATGAAATATAGTACTTCTCAAATTGGTCTTCTTTGAGCAAAGAAATTAAAGTGGGGATTTAGCTGATACATTTGAGGTCCTGCAAGTTTTCAGTAGAGTTCATAAAGAGAAACTGCTTCCACTGGTAGAAAGGTTGGTAAAAGAACAGTGGAAGAGAAGTAGAAATTTCTTTCCAATGATCTGGAATACACTGTCTAAAAGGGTGTTAGATGCAGATTCAATAATACTAGGTGATCTTTCCAAGGTTAAGTGTCATTAGCCTAGTTAATTGGATTAACTGACGATCCACTCCAGTCTCTTCTCTCCTCCCCATTCCTATCCCCCCACCACCCCCCTCCATCCCCCAATCACCACCAGATGCCTTCTGCTGCCACTTTATTAGCTCCCATCCCAGCATATCTGCACAGGGCTGGTAAATAGGCCAGCCACCAATTTTACCACAAAAGATCTGTTTTCCCTTCTGTTGAAATCAGAACTATACATAAACTAGAGATTAAAGAATAGCACCCAACTCAATGCATTATCAAAGTTTTCAAATATTTATCAACTAAACATAGTAACCTGCTGTAATATTGGAAGACAGCCTACACAGTGACAGGTTAGCATCTGTTGCTTTGAGGCTAACTGGTATTTTCAAAACTTCATTGTGAACTACAATAAATCAATATAGCCAATAACATGGCTGGATGTTTGATTTATAATAACTTGAAAAGTGCTAAGGATTAAAGAAAGACTGACCAAAGCTATAAAACATAACTTACCACCAGAGAGTTGGACAACACCCGAATACTTGGGTCAGGCAAAATTGTCAGTCCTTCGACTGGATCTTCAGCTCTCACTGTTACCATCTTATTAACAGAGCTAACCTTGTTCTTTGCGGTGATGGTGATGCTGGTTAAATTACAATCTTTGACAGTCAGCGGGATACGTGAAAAACAGGTATTACCATCCTTTTCACAGTTGGAGGAGAGCTCTGAGGGGCAAGTCATTTCACAGCTGAAGTTCTGATTGCTCCCAGACCAACTTGTTAATGCCTTTCCAGATGACTGAACCTTAACAATGATGACAGCTCGATTCTTTGGCACATAGAACACACCATTTTGTTTCAGTGGGTAAATAACACTGAAGTCAGTAATTGGGGCCAACACCTGAACAGTGCAAGATGCATTGCTGGAAAAGGGCCCACTTTCCATCATTACTTGGTAAGTATAAACACCTGGTGATTGCTGCCCATTGCGAAGCAGTGGACTGCTGGCATTAGTTTCTTGCCTGTGAGTATAAAGCACACGAAGATTGCACACAGTACCATCTGTCCGGTTGCTATCAGTCAGATTTATCCAAAGGTCCTTGCTCTCCCCAGAGTAGACTACACTGTAGTAACTCTGTTGCCAGGGTGATGAATCATTCTGTTGACACTGTAGGAAGCTTCCAGGCTTGCCATCGTGTTGAATGGCTATGATGTCATTGGACTGCACTTCAATCCTTTCATTTCTCAGCAGGAGCTGAACATGAAGAAAAATTAGAAACTTAGTCTTATAACATTCCTCTAATATTTAGATGCTAAATTAAGTGAAAGGACAATATTAGGATTGAGATGACAGTCAGGTTCTGACTGGTAGTTTAGAACTTAAGAAAAATGTAAAAAGAAACAATCTCATGAGAGACTTGAAATTAGAGTGGTCAAAGATGCAGGGTGGGGGGTGGTGTTGGCAGATGCAGGGAAATGATTTTTGGTGTCACCCTGACTCAGTGGAGGGCCCGTGCCTTCTTGTCTGTTAGTACTAAGGCACTTTGAGGGTGAAGTTCAGTAGTTAGTGGGAATGTGGGAAATTGGCCCACCACCAATTTCAGCAGGTTGGCAGGTTGCATTTCAAGGGTGTGAAGGGGTGTAGTGGTGTAGTATACAGACAGACCTGCAACAGGATGGAGTCACTTTGGGGTTGTGAGTGGAAGATGCCATAAGAATTGCCCCTCCTGAACCTCCATTCTTCCTTTAAAAAATTAAAAGCTTCCTAGGCTGTTTTGTAAATGACCTCAGTAGTGTCATTAAGGACTAGTGGACAGGTTACCTATACAGTACAGGAACTTTAATTTGCATATTTAAGCAGTTAGATCCTTGTTTCAGGTGAATAGGCTGTTTGCCGTTGACTGATTCACTGTCTTGCGAGGATCTTGATAATTGGTTACAGCTTAAGCTATGAACAGATATAAAATTAGCAAAAGTGAAAAATGATCTTACTACATAATGAGTTGAGCTGTTGGCTGGTACTGTACAAGGAACTTCCTTCACAAGGTCGTAAAGTGGATGGCTTTCGATGAAGTGAGGCGGGAGTAAATTTGGACACCTAATAAAGACATCGGTACCACAGGGTCTTTTGAGCGGTAAGCAAGTTTCAGCCAAACTGCACCATTTAGTGTCACTGTTACAGCCATGGGTGGTGTTGCTGAGAGTTCGAGGTAAGCAAAAAGCAAATGACGAACATACTTCTTCATTGTCTGGAAGAATAAATTGTTCAGTGATTTTGAAAGTATATAATGTACATTTGGAAATTTTCTTCAACTCAATTTCAAAGAAAAAATATGCATTGTCAATTTACATTTTATAACATTTCTAATCCAATCACTCTCTGAATATCTTTGTATAGAATATAAATGTGTGTATCTGTGGAACTTGCAACAAATTTAAAGTAATTTATTGTGTGTCCTACAGGAAGCTGTTGAAGCAAATAGCAGGAAAGCTTCCAAAAGGAAATTAGACAAGTACATGAGACAGAAAGGAATACAAAGTTGCACTGAAATGTTGGGAAGGTTAGATGGAATACAAGGAGACTTCTGTGAAATATAAACACCATCATAGATTTGTTAAACTGAACATCCTGTGTCTGCACTGTATGTTATTCCTCAAATAAGCACATAATACTTATAAATATATGCAAATATGCGCATGATTATTTTCTACTTAAGCTGTGAATTTGAGGTTTCCTGAAAAATTTATTTGGAAAATATACACTTTTCTGACCATTTACGTAAGGGGATTTGTGCCAAACACAGAATGCTGGAGAAGCTCAGCAGGTCTGATGGCAACTGTGGAGACAGAAACAGAGTTAATTTTTCAAGTCTGGTATGACTCTACTTGGAAATTTTTAATCAGTTCTGAAGAAGACTCATTCCAGAATTGAAACATTAACTTTGTTTCTCTTCCCACAGTTGCTGCCAGACCCGCTGGAGTTTCTCCAGCATTCTCTGTTTCAGATTTCCAGCATCTGCAGTATTTTGCTTTTAATGAGATTGGCAGGATTTCTGCTTTCTGACACACTGACTCCCATCATTAAGCTGTTACCTGGTGTCACAAGTTGCATGTCTTTTCCAGCACATTTTGGTCGGTAGATCTTAAATTTCACCTGGATAGTCTGGTTCAGATTTTGTGTGGCTAATTCGAGCACTGACACAAAACCATTATGATTGAACCAAAGACCTGGGAAGACCATGAGCTATGAGATCAAAACGTAAACAAAAGGATTAGGAACCAGCTTGATGCAGAGAAGTCAAAACACATTCAACTCCCTTCTCCCATTTCTGGTAGTTTCTTCGTTTGAAATTACACTTGCCTGTAGTAAACTCCGTAGGCAAAGTGTAGGGGAACACTTTCTATCTTTCACAAACCAGAGTCAGGACCTACCGCTCTTCAAGCCAAGTATATCGTCTGACATCAGAGTAATGGGTCTACTTTGGTTCAGTGTTAACCTGCTTAACTGTAAGTTAGGTATTTTAGGTTTTAATCATGGGATTTGAGCAGTCAAAGCTGACTACGTTTTATAAGGAGATTGCTGCACATTCAGGGTACTGTATTTCTAATGAGATGGTTAACAGAGGCCTTGTCTGTCTCCTCAGGATATAAAGCATCTCATGGCCCTATTTCGAAGATGAGTAGGGGAGTTCTCCCTGACACTGTGGCCAATACTTATCCCTCAACCATTGTTCCTCATGGGATCTTACCATGCAGAAATCGCCAACAGCCTTTCTTGGCATTATAGTTATTGCACTTCAAACACAATTAATTTGCTGATATTTGGGATGTCCTGTGTACACAAAAGATGCTATATAAATGCAGGCAATTGGTTTCATTCTAAAATCCCTTCTAATGTGCCCCAAAGTGACCAGGGTGATTGTCATAATTACTACCTGTGTGGTATCTTGGTTGAGTGGATTTCTGGGTTTCTAAATTATGTGACAGGTTACTGCCCAAGTAGGTAAGTTTCAGCTTGAACCTTCAATACCCATTTTGCACTGGAATAACATCCCTATGCCCTTGAAGCATACCATTACTGCATTTGTCATGGCACTATTCACTTCCTGCACCAGCTGTCTTATGGCTTTCTCTGCAAGGCTGCTGCATTAGAGATAATTCTGCATTTTTCTCTAAAGCAACAAAAAAACTTTCTTAATTCTGATGATGTGTTTGTTAAATTATTGCTGAGTGCTTTGTTTGCGCAAATTGGTTGCTGTGTTTCCTACATTACAATAGTGATTACACGTCAAAAGTACTTAGCTGTAAAACATTGAGATGACCCGAGAGCTGTGACTGATGGAATAGAAATGTAAGTTCTTCGTTTTTCTCCACGTTGTACATGGAAAGTTCAGCTTTCAAAACCTGTCTAGTATGAAGCGGACATGTCTCAAAAACACTATTTTTTGATGCACTTCATTGGAAGCTGATTGCACCCAAACAAAACAGGTAGACAATCACTCACCTCCACCAGTTCTGAAGGTGTTGATGAATTGTAGTTCACGGTGATATTTTTTACAGGTAAGTGGGTGCTAAATGCTGGAGATCCCAATAGATTGTAATTGGCACCTGGAATCTTTTCTGTTTCATAAAACACACACAAAAAGAAACCCTTGTCAAAGTAAAGTTTGTGAACAATCACAAAGTGACCATCAAACATTGTTAGAGGTCGAGGTGTTTCCAATTTAAAAATGAGCCATTAGCTAAAGATATTGATCATAGTTGCCAATGATTGATTTATGTGGGGAGGCTAAATTGTGGATTATTATAATGAACATATTGTACCTTCAGCTTTTTATGGTGTGCATGGTGTATTGGATGATAAACATTGCAGAAATGGTTTGTGATGAGAGGATATCTTCCCACCTTATATTTTTATTCCACTAAATATGAGATTAAATCTCTTAAACTGTAACCATGCTTGTTTGGGGCTGCTAAAACAGGAGTTGCTGGAAAAGCTCAGCAGATCTGGCAGCATCTGTGAAGAAAAAATCAGAGTTAACGTTTTGGGTCCGGTGACCCTTCCTCAGCACTTAATGTCGGTGGGCAAGAAGAAAGATTGAAACGGAAATCCTGTCAGAGAGAGGAGCAGAACTTCTACAAGGTGGATATGCCTGGAAGAGATGTGGCAGTGAGTTTAATGCTAAATAAAAACCAAAAGAACTGCAGAAGCTGTAAGTCCGGAACAAAAACAGAAGTTGCTGGAAAAGCTCAACAGGTCTGGCAGCATCTGTGAAGAAAAAAAATCACAGCGTTTCGAGTGTGGTGACCCTTCCTCAGAACCTTGGGCCTGCATTAGCTGATCTCACTCTTAAGAATTAAGCAGAATGCTCCAGGTTAGGGTACAAAAACACAGCACTCGAGACATCATGCCCAAGCATGGATCAATGCCTTCAGAAAGAAATGGCAGGCTCTCGGATGGGCAAAGATTGGGAGAAAAATAAAATAGAATCATAGAAGCCCTGGACTGTTATTTTGTTAAGAAAGAAACCTACTATCAGCCATTTGTTAATTTTATCCACTAACCTCCAACTCTGTATTCGCACACAAAATTTCTTCTCGTGGTACAGAGATCTGTTTTCCATTCTCCTGCAAGGTTTGCACCCATCAGCACGCAGGTGTTACTGAGTAGTGTATTTGGTTGCCCAGGCAACCATTCCTGAAAGTTTTCAAGGGTGGACCCGTCCACCCACTGCAGTGTTCCAGCACCAGCAGTATCACTGAGACCTATCCACACAGGATGCTCGCTGCAACAAGAGCAAAAGAAGGGTCATTAAACTGATCATAGAACTTACAGTATAACCTAATGCAACAGAATATAAAGGTCTCTTCAGAGTATGCCCACTGCGATCACAGTGAGGACCAACAATCCAATTGGAAAGCAATGTAAATGTAATATCAGTAGTTAACTAGGTGTATATCGCTGGTCAGGACAAACTTACAAACTCTCATTGTAATGCATGTTTTCCTCCTAAAGAGAGAAGGCTGAGGTTAACCTGACTGAGGTTTTTAAGCTAATGAAGGAGCTTGACAGGGTAGATGCAAAGAATATACTTCCTCACACAGTGGAGTGCAAAAGTAGAAACAATGCATAAATGCAGCATTGACACAAATAAATGCAGCAGAGAATTCAGTAGAAACCTCTTCACCCAGACATTAGTGAGAATGTGGAACTCACTATCATAAGGAGTGGCTGAGGGAAATAGCATGGATGCATTGACAGGAGTGCTAGACAAATATTTGAGGGAGAAATGAATAGGACTTATACTGGTAAGGTTAGATGAAATAAAGTTGATGAAGGCTAATGCACAGTATTAACTGGCACAGGCCAGTTGGGCCAAAAGGCCTGTTCCTGTGCCAAAGACCTGAGGTAACAATGTGAAAACAAGGTCCGTTTGTACATGATTAAGTACCTTGCTATATAACGCAGAAAAAAAGATTTGTTTGTTGGAGGCAGCAGCTACTGAGTGATTAATTGTAAGTTAGAGCTTTAAAAAAAAGGTTTTTATTTTCAGTTTTTGACACTTGAAACACTGGTTTCATTTTGACTCCTCCTGAAGGCCCATTGCTCAGAAAGTGGAATGTGCATTTTACTGGGAATCCATCAAAATCAGATGTTGCAGCTGAACTGCAAACTTCAAAGACGTCACAACATCTAACGACCATTCTCGCATTCAACTGTGACAAATCATGGTCAGCACTAGTTTCACTGAGCACTTAAGTAAGGAAGTTGAAGCACTCATCATTTATGTTGCTGAGCAGAATATAGATGCTCAAAATATTCAATGGCTTTTGAATGCATCCGTGATTTTTTTAATCATGCATACAATGGCTGGGTCTTTGACATTTCCTTTTCTTTTGGCTTTTTCTTTTATTTCTGCTTCTGTTTTTAATTCTGTCTTTTGTATGCTAAGATGGAGCTGGAAAATGGCAACTTTGTACACTTTTCACTGTTCTTCTGTATGCAAGCAAATGTGACAATAGAATCTAAACCTAAATCATTTTTTGTGCAGATAAATTGGAGTTTTGTTTTCTCCTCAGCGTAACAGTAACAACTTGCTTTTCTGTTGTATCTGTAATGCAGGTGGAGCCCAAGGAACTTCACAGGAGTGATTATCAAACTAATTTTGAGTCACAAGAAGAGATATTTGGACAGGTGACCATAAGCTTGGCCAAACAAATAGGCTTTGTAGAGCATGCTGAAGGATGGAGAGAGGAGCAGAGTGATTTAAGGAGAGAATTTCAGATCATTGGGCTTGGAACAGTTGAATGCATAGCGTTAAAGGCTTATTCAAAGAGTTACTGAAAATGAGATGGACGCAAAATATGTGAGACTGCAATTGGCAAAAACCTTAATGCACTTTTATAAAGCTTACCATCCTGTAATGTTTGCTATAAAATTCTGAATTTCTGGACTTTTTATAATTGCCAGGTCACCATCGCTGTGAGATTGACAAAAATGACGAGCCATTTGCCATGTGGAGTTATTTGTAACCAACCTGTAGCAGTGATTATTGCTCTGATATCCACCTAATGTACAAAATGGAGCATCTGTGGAAAATAAAAGAAATTAGAAAGCTCAATAAGGAACCTTTCAACATCTGAATGCTGAATTCACAAGAGTAGAGTTAGTCCAGTTGACTTGAATAAGATGCAAAATAATGCCAAAGTGGGTTCAGCCCTTGCATGGCTACAATAGTTCCTGTGACCCCCCTCCTCCCCTTTCATCATGGTGATGTCATGGCATAAGACATGATTAGCAGTCCTTGGACAATAAGAATGGGATGAGTGGAGAGGAAAAACTAGACCCAGATCGTGCTAAAGCACAGGAACAGCAGGAGGCTATTCAGCCTTCAAGCATTTTAGACCACGTCTGAGCTATACCATTTCCTTTGGTCTGTGTTTGCTCTATTTCCTTTGATACCCTTGACAGACAGAAAACTCAGTCTTGAATTTTTTTTAATTAAACCTGGATCAATTGCCTTTGTTTGGGAGAGGGGTGGGGTCAAGCGAAAAATGTTCCAGATTTCTATTCCATCTCTTTTGAGAAAAATACCACCTTTACTCAGAAAGGTCTCTAAATTTAAGGTTGTGCTCCCTTACTTTGAAGAAATAGCGATGAATCTTCAAAACAAAATACAGCTATTACTATATAGACTACCAATATAAGGAGGACAATCTGGGTAAGAGTTATGATAGCTTTTGAAAATATCCACAGGGGGAGTTAACGTCTTCAAAAGCAGATTGGAAAAAGGAATCTATTAATCAGTGTGGAGCTGGAGGAACACAGCAGGCCAGGCAGTATCAAAGGAGCAGGAAAGCTGACGTT